CCACTTCTATGCTGATGATACCCAGCTATACCTCTCTTTTCACCCTGATGATCCCTCCGTTCCAGCTCGCATCTCAGCCTGCCTGTCAGACATTTCACATTGGATGAAAGATCATCATCTTCAGCTTAACCTGGCGAAAACGGAAATGCTTGAAGTTTCTGTCAACCCGACTCTACATTATAACTTTTCAATCCAGATGGACGGGGCAACCATTACTGCATCCAAAATGGTGAAAAGCCTTGAAGTAACGATTGATGACCAACTAAACTTCTCTGACCACATTTCTAGAACTGCTCGATCTTGCAGATTCGCCCTCTATAACATTAGAAAGGTCCGACCCTTCCTATCTGAACATGCAGCTCAACTCCTTGTTCAAGCTCTTGTTCTCTCCAGACTGGACTATTGCAACTCTCTACTAGCCGAGCATCCAGCTAACTCTATCAAGCCTCTTCAGCTGCTTCAGAGCGCAGCAGCACGAGTGGTCTTTAATGAACCTAAACGAGCACATGTTACTCTGCTGCTCATCCGTTTGCACTGGCTGCCAGTTGCTGCTCGCATCAAATTCAAAGCTCTGATGTTTGCGCACAAAGCGACTTCTGGCTTTGCTCCTTCTTATTTGCTCTCACTTCTGCAGATGTATGTGCCCTCCATCTGCCCAGTTGGTGGAATGAACTCCCTAACTGCATCAGCACAGCAGAGTCACTCGCTGTCTTCAAGAAACAACTAAAAACTCAACTATTTAGTCTCCACTTTCCTTCCTAATCTGCAATTGCCTCTCTGACTACAAAAAAAAAATAAAATAAATAAAAAATAGTACATTACTAATGTTTTGTTTCTTACACTTTACACACCTGACACTTGCCTATAGCACTTATTCATTGTTACTCTTATAGTTGTGTAAATTGCTTCCTTGTCCTCATTTGTAAGTCGCTTTGGATAAAAGCGTCCGCTAAATGTAAATGTATGTTTTAAAGTTAAAACAGATTGACAAAATCATATTGGTTTCCCAACTAAAGGCTCTATATTTAGCTCATATTCATGCACACACACAGTCTTAGCTAGTTTTCATTTCTTTGTAGAGTGTGTCTCTACATCTCCTCATTCATTATATAATGAGCACTTGAGGACGGTTTTGTCCCACTAATAGTGTTTATTAATCATACATCTAATTGTCCAATAGAAGAGCCCCGTTTACTGCTGCCTTAATTAAATCTATCAATCAATGTTCAGGAAAGTCCTCCTGTGTGTCCTGAGTGAGAAAGTGTGGGTTTAGAGATGCAGGGATATCCTGTTCTGTTGTTGACCAGTATAGGGACAAATGCTTTGGTCAAAGTCAGAGACTATTTTGATCCTTCACAAAATGAAAAACAAACAAAATGCTGCGATTGGTCAGATGACTCTACTTGGTTCTGCTCGGATTGGATGGCTGCACTTGGTTTTGCTCTAATTGGTCAGACGACTCTTCTCTGCACTTATTGGTCAGATGACTCTACTTGGCTTTGCTCTGATGATTTTGTAATTGGTCAAATGACTCTCTCTGCTCTGATAGGTCAGATGACCTTTTCTGCTCTGACTGGTGAGACAACTCTCTTCTACTCT